CGGGGAGCGAAGAGTGAAGAGAGAGAGAAGCAAGAAGGGTCGCAGGGAGAAGGAAGCAATCGGGAGCAGCCGACGCAGACATCCCGCAGTGAGGGGGTGCTCGGGGTGGCCTGGACGCGTCTGCGGGGAAAACCTTTCTGTTCACTCTTGGGGCCCGCTGGGGCCTACACCCCCCTGGAAAAGAAATGCAACTTTTCCGCGGTTTCTTGCTGGATCCCCGATCCCAAACCTGAAAGAGCTGCGGCCGACGGCAGGGAAAGCATCGAGTCGCGCGGCGCCCCCGCGTGAACATTGAAACCCAGGGGTTCGTGGAGACGCACCGCGCGCGAGATTTGCACTACTTTTCAAGGGAAGTGCATGTGAGGTGGAACGTCAGGGGGGGGACCGGCTCAGGGCGGGAAGCATCGACCTGGAATCGGCGATACGTCGCCGATAGATCGGCGATGGCCTTTCGACACCGAAACCGCACGTTGCTCGGCGGGTGGGCTATCAGGCCCCTATCGGCGATGAACGGGCGATTGGGGGTCGATGCAGTTCCCCCCTAAGCCTACGGTCGGTCGGCATTTTTTCCTTAGCTTGTCGCGGCAGCGGCCCCAGAGACACGCTTTGCCTTGCAAGCGTGTCACTCCGCGGGGCGGGAGGCTCGGAAAGGCTCGGGACAAGAGCGCTGGAAAGGGGGACGTGGATAGCTTGTCTTTTTTTTGTTACGCTACACGCCTACACGAAGACGACAAAGACAAAAACAGCCTGCAACTCGTTCAGACCAAAGAGACTTACAGCTTGGCTGAAGCTCCTGGACCGTGCAGTGCAAGAAGTGTCTGGCATCCGTCATAATATGTACTGACGGAGTGCGCACAGTCCAGCATGCGCCCAGCTGATTGTTCCCCCCCGAAATCGTGGCGAAATGGCGAAGCGTGCTGGGCCAGAAGCGGGGTCGCGACACGCTAAGCCAAAGTTCCTAACCGCGAATCGCATCCCCCCCCCCCTCGCGCCCCCGAGCGTGCTCGGGCCTTCCCAGGCGTTCCTGGGGCCCTGTCAGGCTTCCTGCCCACCCCTTTTCGGGCCGCGTGAGGCCGGCTGGGCGACCGCCGAGGCCTGCGGGGGTCTTGTTCACGCCTTGCTGGGGCGGCTGACGGCCGTCTTCGAGCTGTTCGTCAAGGGCCCTCTTGGAGCCTCTAGGAATGATTTTATCTGAAGGCCCGCACTGCCGAAGGCAAATTAGGTTCTGAAGGATTCCGCCTCTCCAGCTTCGGGGCCTCCTAAAGCCGTCTTTGGGCGGGCGGCTTTGGGCCTCATGGGCGTCTCGGGACTCTGTTGGCAGCCTTTCGGAGACCACTTCGGACACTCTTGCGGAGCAATTGCACGGCACTTCGGCTGTCTCTGAGGCGTCTTCGACAGTCAGTGGGACGCTGAAGGACGTGCCAGCCTCCCTGGAGTGCATGTTGGAGCGACGCCAAGTCAGAGCAGACAGCGCGAGCTCCAGGGGCCCTCCGAGGGACTCCGAGCTGCCCGGTGCCGCCGTGGGGCCTCGAGAGCCGGCCGGGACAGGGGCCTTTCCCGCACGCACGGGCCCCCGAGCTGTAGAGATGATGACGGTGGGCTTCAGTTTCGCCTCCCGCATCTCGCTAAGCAGTGCCAGCGCCCGCTGCCACTGCTCACCCTTCTCGCATGCGCTGATCCCAGCATTGTAGATGACGACATCGGGCTCTAGCTTCGCCACCCGCATCTCGCTGAGCAGCGCCAGCGCTCGCTGCCATTGCTCGCCGTTGCCGCATGCGCCGATCCCGGCGGTGTAGCTGATGCGGTCAGGCTTCAGTTTCGCCTCCCGCATCTTGCTCAGCAGCGCCAGCGCTCGCTGCCACTGCTCGCCCTTCTCACACGCGCTGATCCCGGCATTGTAGCTGACTAGTGTGAACCCGTGGAAAATCCACGGGTCCAGGCGTTGGTCCCGAACTCGCACGTGTCGCCGAAGCTTGCGGGAGGGCAGCGTGTGGGTCTCTGAAACGTCTTGGGAGCGCGTGCTGGGAGCTCCTTCCAAACGCGCGGGCTGGGTCTGGGGCCTCTGGTCATTGGTCGGCAGCACATTCGTCGTGCTGGAATGGCCAAAAACCAATGGGTTTTCGCTACTCGCGCGAAGGCCAGGCGCGATTAGCGAAATCCCGATGCTTTTGAATGGTTCTGCGCTCGGCCTCGTCGGGCCTCGATGGGGAACCGTGGTCTTTGAGGGTTCATGCAGCGGGGTAGCTTGGAGCCTCTAGGGCCAGGTGGAAAGGATAGCTTGGAGGAGAAGCAGGGACAATGGACAGGGACAATGGGCACCTGGGGCCCAGTTGTCGCTGTCTTCTGCGTGACTTGAAACTCTCTTGGGCTGTCTTGGGGCCTTCTTCGGCGGTCTTTGGCCCTTCTTGGGCCATATGAAGGCCATCCTCGGGTTCTTTTGGGCGGTCTAGGGGTGATCTGAGAAGGTCCTGGGGCCGTGTAGGGCCGTTCGTGTCCCGAAATGGCGGGAAGAGCAAGAATCCTCCAAAACCTTCGGAAAACGGTAATTGGTGCCGTTTGGCGCGGTCCACGGGGCCCTCGAGGCACGTCTCTGGGGCATTTCGAGGCCGTCGTGGGGCTCTGTCCCGATCGGCTTCGGCTCTCTTGGGCGTCTTTGGGGCCGTCTTGGAGCGATGTGGGGGTCCGGGAGCCGTCGGGGAGCGCTCCAGGGGCGTCCTGGGGCTGTCGGGGAGCGGCTCAGAGCTCTGGCAGGTCGAAGCCAGCAGAACCGACAGAGCAGCGGTGAGACCCCCGATACAGCCAAGGGTGCGGGTGCTGGTATACGTAGGGCCCCCGAACCGGCTGCAGTGGCCTGCGGGCAATCTCGCCGAGGCCTGGGTAATGGGTAAGAGATCTCGTGGATGTTGGTCGGGATCTCGTGGTTGGCCTCTCGGGGGCCTCTGGGAGACAGTTTGGGGGCTTCTTGGTAGCAGTTTGGGAGCGTCTTGGGGCCTCTTGGGCTCTCGTTTGGGGCCTCTTGGGAGCCTTTTGGGGCGCTTGGCGGCCTCTGGGGTCCTCTTGGAGCCTCTTTGGGGCGTCCTGGGGCCTCCTGGGGATGTCTTGGGAGCGTCCCAGCGTTTCTTTGGGGCGTCTTGGGGCTTCCTGGGGGCCTCTTGGGGGGGAGGCCTTGATTTTTCGGTTGCGGGTCCCTGTCTTGGGCCTCTCTTGGGGCCTTCTTGGGGCCCTCTTGGGCCGTCTTTGGCGACTCTTGGGCTGTCTTGGGGCCCTCTTGGGCCGTCTTGGGGCCGTCTTGAAGGCCTCTTGGGCCGTCTTGGAACGGTCTTGGGGGCCTCTTGGGCGGCCGTGGAGCGTCGGAAAGCCGAAAAAGCGAGAAGGCCAGAAACATTTAAAAAAACAAAGAAAATCAACGATTTTGGCTTCTGCGGCCCCTCTTGGAGGTGCACTTCGAGCGCTCTGGGGGCCTCGTGGAGACGTCTCGGGCCGTCTTGAAGACGTCTTGAAGCCATCTGAAGCGTCTCGGATACACTCTTGGACCGTCTTGGGCCGTCTTCGGGACCTCCTGAGGCCGTCTTGGAGCGATCTGGGAATCCTGGATCAGTCCGCGAGCGGTCCGGGGGCCTCCCGGGCCCGTCGGGCAGCGGCCCGGAGGCTATCCGGGCGGCCCGCGAGCTCTCTGGGCGGCCCGGGGCGCTGCCACTGCTTGACCTTTTCGCAAGCGCTTCGCCCGGAATTGTAGTACAGACTAGGGCTGACCCGCGGCCTCCCGGCCGCGGAATCTGCCCGCCATGGCGTGGACGTGGTAGTGGAGCGTCTCCGGGGCCTCGCAGGTGAGGGGAGGTTGGAGGGGACGGCGTGGATGGAGGAGGTGGCCGCTGGAGGGGGAGGTGGGCGAGGGATGCAGGCAAGCAGGCCTGAAGACAGGAACGCGGTGGTGGAGGCCGTGTCAGTGCAAGCGCACCCATGTAGGCATGACATGGTGTGGACAGAAGCTGTTTCTCACGCCGCAGTCTGTGTTCATCATAGCTTCTGCGGGGAGGGTCGCCGTGATAGTTTGATCTGCTCTTCGCCGAATGATAATTTTATCTGGTAGCGTAGTGACAATGGGGCCGGCGGGCGCGGCCTAAGAGGCCCGCAAGAAGGCGGCGAGACGGCCCAAAAGGTCTCCAGGACGGGCCAAGAGGCTTCCAGACGGCCCCAGCGGGGACCCCCCGAACTCACTAAGACGGGCCCCAGTGCGAGGACACGAATCGACCTTTCGAGCGCACCGCCCCAAGACATCCCCCAAAGGCGCAGAAATGGCTCCCAGAGGGTCCAAGAAGCCCCAAAGACAACGTTGGAAGTTCGACGCTCCCCAAGAGCCGTCTTGGGCCGATGTGGGGCTGTCTCGGGCGCCTGTCGGATCATCTTGGGGCCGTCTTGGGGTCATCTTGGGCCGAGCTCTTGGGGCTGTCTTGGGTGTTTCTTGAGCCGTCTCGGGCGTCTCTGGAGCCGTCCCGGGGCCGTCTCGGGCCGTCTTGGCATGGGGACCTCTTGGGGGCGTCTAGGAGCATCTCGGGCGATCTGGGGGCCTATACAGCCAGCCGTCTTGGAGACTGTGCAGACGGACAGGCTTGGAGACGGGGCGGCGGGGGCCTGTACAGCCGTCTTGGAGACGGAGCGGTGGGGCCGTCTTGGGCCATAATGAACTGCTCTTGGGGCTGTCTTGGGTGCGTATTGAGCCGTGTCGGGCGCCTCTGGAGCCGTCCCGGGGCCGTGTGGGGCCGTTTTGGAGCGCCCCTGGGGGCCTCTGGACGCGTTTTGGGGCGAGCTGGGGGGCCTGTATAGCCGTCGTGGACGCTGCGAGGACGAAAGAACAAGACATAGTGAAAATGTGCGCTTCCCGCAGGGACTGGGACGATTTTGGCTTGGGGCTCTTCTCCTGGAGGCCCTCCTGAGCCATCTTGGGGGCCGCCTGGCCTGCCTCGGGGGCCTCTGGGGCTGTCTTGGGGCTCCCAAGGGGTGCTCTGAGGCCGTCTTGGCGCCCCCTGGAGCCTCTCGGAGCTGTCCCGTGGGCCAATCTTGGCTGCTCTTGGGGCTGTCTTGGGTGCGTCTTGGGCCGACTCGGGCGCCTCTGGAGCCGTCCCGGGGCTGTGTGGGCGGCAGTTTGGGAGCGCTCCTGGGGGCCTCTGTACGCGCCTGGGGGCGAGCTGGGGGGCCTGTATAGTCGTCGTGGACGCTGTGAGGAGGGAAAAAAAAAGATAATGAACATGTGCGTTCTTCGTCGGGAATGGCTTGGGAGCCGCCTGGCCTGCCTTGAGGGCCTCTGGGGCTGTCTTAGGGCTCCCAAGGGTGATGTGAGGCCGTCTTGGCGCCCCCGAGCCTCTCGGAGCCGTCCCGTGGGCCGTAATGAACTGCTTTTGGGGCTGTCTTGGGTGCGTTTTGGGCCGTCTCGGGCGCCTCTGGAGCCATCCAGGGGCCGTGTGCGGCCGTTCTGGGGCGCTCCTGGGAGCCTCCGGGTGCGTTTTGGCCCCCTCTTGGGCCTGGCTTGGGGTCCTCTGGGGCCGTCGTGGGCGCCTCTTGGGCCATCTTGGGGCTCCCTGGGCCGTCTGGGGACGCGCTTGGAGGCCTGTTGGGCCATCCTGGGGCGGTCTTGTGGGTCTCTTCGGCCGTCTTGGAGCGTCGGCTAGCCGAGAAGGCGAGAAGGAAAAACTCCTCATTCAAAAGAACGCTCTTTGGAGCCTCTTATGGCCACTTCGGCGCGTCTTTGGGCGGAGGGCTCGATTTGTAACGCTCGGGGGCCAGGATCTTCGTGATGGGTGTCGAAAATGGCCATCCAGGGGGCGCATCGGTCCACATGCGCTGTTTTGACGTTCTGGCACGCGCTGATGTCCGCCATAGAGAAGGGACTAGGGCTGACCCGTGTACTCCGTCCACGTCAACCAGGCTGTCCAGCGACTGTTTGCTGCTAGCGCTGCTTGCGAACAGTTTGCCTGCTTGTGTGTTGGCGTGTTGCTTGCTTGCGGCTCGCTTGCTTGCTTGCTTGCTGGCTGGCTGCCTGCCTGCTTGCCTGCCTGCCTGGCTGCCTGGCTGGCTGGCTGGCTGCTTGCTGTTTGCTTGCTTGCTTGCTGGCTGGCTGGCTGGCTTGCGGCTTGCTGCTGATGCTGCTTGCTGCTGCTTGATGCCAAAAACTGAAGTTGGGCTCGTCTTGGCCGAATCTTGGGACTTCTTTGGGACTTCTTGGGCTACCTTCGAGCCCAGCTGGGCCTTCGGGGGTCAAGGGGTTATGGGAGGGGGCCTCTTGGGCCGCCCTGGGACGATCTTGAGTCGCCTTCGGGCCGTATTAGGTCCAAGACTGGAAGTCCCACCGGCCCTGTGGGCGTAGGTGGTTTACGAGTTAGTTCATCAAGCCTCCTGGTCCCCATTGGGGGAAAGGTTTACCTCTCCCCCTGCCCCCTTTCCCTGGGCCTGGAGGGGGTGCGCCGTGAGGGGTTTGAGCATCCGAGACGGACGAAGATGGCCCCAGGAGGGCCCCAGGCAGCCCAAGATGGCCCCCAAGATCGCAACAGACAGCCCAGGGATGGCTCAGCATGGCTTCCAACATGCCTCCACGAGGCGCCGTGGCCGTCCCATGACCGCTGGCCAAAATCATTCAAAAACAGGTTGGCTTCCAATGTGCTTTGTCTTCTCGCCTGGTTGCTTTCGATGGGCTCTTAAGGCCTCAAGACGTCTCCAAGATGGCCCGAGAGGGCCCCAAGAAGAGCCCAAGAAGGCTTCAAGACGGCCCCAAGAGCGCTCAAGAGCGCCCCAAAACGGCCCCAGGATGCAGTTTGTCAGGCCCTTTATCGATGATCTCCAAGGTAGCTCCAAGAGTGCCCCCAAGAGGGCCCCAAGGCCCCCGAGAGGGTCCCAAGAGAGCCCCAAGGGGGTCCCAAGAGGGCCCCAAGAGAGCCCTAAGTGCTTCCAAATTGCCCCAAGATGGCTCCAGGAGGATCCGCAAGGTCTACACTTTCACCATTGTTGGCCTCATTGCTTCACTACATGCTTACCCACGCCCCTCCTCCAGGCAACTCCCCTGGGCATCGGTTCTGGATGGGATGGTGGGAGTGCGCCTTATTTTCCAACGAGGTTCTGTCGTGGCTGTCGCCGTCCGAGGAGGTCGGAGGAAGCGCGCGGGCTTCGCAGGATGACAGAAGGCAGAAGGCGCTGCAGAGCATGCCCCGTCTCTGGGAGCACTCCCCGACGGGTCGCACATTCAGACCAGGGCCGCTCTAACAAAGGGAGGACAATATGAAGCGCATGGGTGGCTTATTTTCCTGGGTGGCCGGTTCGGTCCCAGATCTCTCTAAAGGATCTTCCCTGGGAAGCCTCTTGCATGCGGTTTTGGACTTGTCTCGAGGTCTCTCGGGTGCCTCCTGGGGGCCTCTTGGGGCCTTGTTTGGGCCTCTTGCTGCCTCCTGAAGCTTCTGCAGGGCCTTTTTCTGAGTCCTGCTGGCGGTCTAGAGGGTCATCTTGGGGCGGAGGGCGCGACATGTCAGTTCGAGTTGCCCCCCTCTTGGAGCCCTCTTGGGGCCGTCTTAAGTGCCTCTTGGGCCGTCTTAGGGCCCTCTGGGCTCTCGGGCCGCCTGGTGGCCCTCTTGGGGGCCTGTTGAGCAATCTTGGGAAGTTACTTCTTGGGCCGTCTTGGGGCCCGGTTGGGCCGTCTGAAAATCATATTTGCCGCCTTCTCGAGCCGACTAGGAGTGACCGTGGGCTACAGTCCACGAAAGCTGAATCGCACGCAAGAGTGATGAACGCTTGCCTACCTGTCTGCTCGCATGCTGTCCTGCTTCCGCGTTCGTACAAGCCTGGTGGCATGACAACTTTTGGCCAGATCGATTGCTGTCTGATTTGCCTTCTTCATTGGTTGCCCGTCCTCTCGACGCCGATTGCTGATGGTCGGTGCTATTTGCTGCAACGTTATGTAGAGTATGTTGCTATTCCTGGCCACTGCGGGTTGGTGCCGGCGGTTACGTACTATTTCTTGATGCGGTGTTTGGCGCTGCTACAAACTGCTGCTGCTGCTGCTGCTGCTGTTGCTGCTGCTGCGAGCTGTTGCTACTGCTGCTGCTGCTGCTGCTGCTGCTGCTGCTGCTCCTGCTGCTCCTTATGCTGCTGCTGCGAGCTGTTGCTGCTGCTGCTGTTCCTGCTGCTGCTGCTGCTGCTGCTGCTGCTGCTGCCGCTAGGTGCTAGTTGATGATACGTGCCTGCTACTGTTTGCTGATGTGTACTGCCGATGTTGCTTGCTTTTGCTGCTTATGACTGCATGGTGCTGCTGGTTGCCAGGCCTGAATACTGCACGCTGCTGCAGGCTGCTGTCTGCATGATGTTGCTGCTTGCTGTTGCTGTGTGCTGCAGCTGATGCTGCCTACTTTCTGCTGCGTACTGATGCTGCTCGCTGTAAATGCCTGATGCTGCAGGGTGCCGCTTGTCGCTGCTTCTGCTTGCTGACGCAACCTGCGGCTCGTTAGAGGATCGAAGATGCAAGAGCGAGGATAGATCAGCGAAGAGCTAGAAGCGAGAAAGGAGGAGCGACAGCAAAGCAGAAAGGAGCAAGGATGGAGGAGGTAGAGCCAAAGAGGGACGAGAGAGAAGGGAGGTGCGAGTGGCCAAGAGGGAAGAGGTAAGAGCCAGGAGATAGAAGCGAAGAAGAGTGAGAAGAGAGGAGCAAGGAGCGCCCCGAGAGGGCGGCCCGGGCGGTCGGGCAATCAACATCGATGCAGGGGCCTCTCTCCCACGCAGGGGCTGCCGCAGTGTGAGCGGGAAAACTTGTTGAGATTGTTTTTCTTGTTGAAACAGGAACGCTGAGGGGACTCCGCGACGAAAGCGGGTCAAGATGAATCGTGAGAGAGAATGCCAGGGTGGACCCGTGGACTCAAGCCACGGAAGGCGGCTGATCGGGTCGGAGTCTTCCCGGCGGCCATGAAAGCTTGCTCGCAGGCAGGGGAGGGAGGACCGCTTGTTTGCTTGACTGCCTAATTCTACTCTTCCTCACGTGTTCCCCGAAAGATTTCAACGGCGGCTTGAGGAACACATGGTCCGATAGCTCTAGCCCTACCTTCGGCCACAGAAGCGCTTCCAAACAGGCCGGGGGCGGCGGTGATTCGCGTCTTCGATAAACGTATGAGTCGTGAAATAAACCATGTTTGCTTGCGGCCTGGTAGCCTGCTTTATGTGTCTGCTTCGTTGGTCTTGGCAGCCCTGGGAGGAGAAACGAGCGGAGAACATGCTGGGGCCCACCGTGGGGCCGGAAGGGGGCCATCTTGGAGCGCTCTTGAAGCCTCCGGGGGGGCTACTGTAGAAGGCGCTTGTTGGGCTTCCGAGAGGAGCCTCGTGGAGCCACTTCCAGCTTGGAGGCCTCTGGGGGGCATCTTTGGCCAACATTGAAATCTTCAGGGCGCCAGGGGAGCACTCTTTGAAGCCCCTTGAGTTCACCCTGAGCCCTCGTGCAGGGTGGTCCGACGGTCTTGAAGTTGTCGTGCGCACCGCTCGCGGCTCCTTGGAGCGTCCCGAGCTGGCTCTGGGGGCCCAGGAGCTAGCACCTGTCTCAAACCTCGCGCGCGCCTGGCCCAGAATTCACTAACAAATGACGTTGGGCTCCAGCGTCGCCACAAACATCTCGCTGAGCAGCGCAAAAGCCCGCTGCCACTGCGCGCTCTTCTCGCATGCGCTGATTCCGGCGCTGTATATGATGACGTCGGGCTCCAGCTTCGCCACCCACATCTCGCTGAGCAGCGCCAGCGCACGCTGCCATTGCTCGCCCTTCTCGCACGCGCTAATCCCAGCACTATAGCTAATGACGCCGGGCTCGACCTTCGCCTCGCACATTTCGATGAGCAGCGCCAGCGCTCGCTGCCACTGCTCGCCCTTTCCGCATGCGCTAATCCCAGCATTGTAGCTGATGACATCAGGTTCCAGCTTCGCCTCGTACATCTCGACGAGCAGCGCCACCGCTCGCTGCCACTGTGCACCCTTCTCGCACGCGCTGATCCCAGTGCTATAGCTGAGTAGCGTAGACGCGTTTAGCAGATTCGCAGGGGGGGCTTGCTCATCTTATGACCCATCGAGACTTTTGGAAGACCTTCTGGTCTGTCTTGGGGCATGATTGGCCGAAGGGGGGAATATCCTGGGTCCCCTTGAGATCCACGTAGAGTATTACATGGCATCTTGGACTTTCTCTACCCCCTGCCGTCGAAGACGCGATCCTGCTTGCTGGTGTTGCTTGCGTTTGATACTGTTACTTTCTCGAGCTGCCTTCAGCTGCTTTTTTTTCTGTTTGCTGATTATGCTTGCCACTGCGTGCTGATCGCTGGTTGCTGGTTGCTCCTGGCTGCCGCCGCTGCTGGCCCTACTACTGTCTCTGCTGCTACTGCTTGTTGGGGGGGGATGGGGACATGTCTGTGACCTCTTTGGGTTTCCTGGGCCGTCTCAGGGCGTCGAGCCAGCTGAGCTGGATGAGGCACTCCTTGACTATTCGGGAGCAGTCTTGGCCAGCGCCTCTTGGGGCCTCCCTAGGGGCCTGCTTGGGCTCTCTTCGGGTATTTGAGGCCTCTCGGGACTATGTTGGGGCCCTTGGGGCCTCGAAGGTCCGTTCGGGAACTATAGCTGCCGTCTGGTGGGGTCGTGAGGCAATGTTGGAACAGTCTTCTACCATCTTTTGGAGCCGTCTTGAGGCCATCTTGGAGACCAAGCAGGGCCATCTTGGCCTACTTGGGAGCCGCATTGAGCCATCCCCTGGAGACTTTTGCGAACTTCCTGGGCTCTCTTGAAGACATCCGGTTCGCTTTTCGAGCCTGTCTGAAGCCGACCAATAGGAATCAGCGGAATATCGTAAACCTACAGACATTCACACATTTGACTTCGGAATGCCTTGCATGTGCTATCTTGGTGCCTCTGGGTGTCCAAGTGGGTCCCAACTGAGTTTTACAGACTTGGGCAGACCCGTGGACTTCCGGTCATGAAGAGTTGGACGCATGCAATGGTGAAGATGTTGTGCCAGATTGCCTGCTTGCACGTTGTCCTGCGATCATGGATGCCAGTCTATCCTGACATTGCGCATCACCAATTGTCCTGCTTACATGCTTGCTGGATTACCTGATGGATTGCTTGTCTGCTTATCTGCCCCATCGCTTGTTCGTCCGTTCGCTGCCGCTTGCTGCCGCTTGGAACTGCTTGGTACTGTTTGCTGCTGAGTATTACTAATTGCGCCATATTGTTGGCACTGCCTATTGGCTGATGTTTGCTGCTGCTTGCTGCTGCTAAGCAATGGTCATGATCATGCGTGCTGCCGCTGCATGGTGCCGCTTCCCGTTTTTTCGTTCTGCTTCAGGCTTGCACCTTGTCCTGATCACGTGACTGCTAGCCTGCAGGCCGACCGCTTGTCTGCGTGCTGGCGTGTGAGATGATCTGCTGGCCTCAATTCTTGCCTGCTTGCTTGACCAATTGCTCGCTTCATCTCGTGGTGCCGATGAACGCCGCTTGCTGTTGCTAAGATGCGATTGAGGTTACTTGCTGCCGTTCGCTGCTTATTTCTGCTACTGCCTGCTGGGTCGCGGTAAGTGTTGCTGTTTCCTACGGCTTGATACTGGTGTGTACGATTACTTGGTGCTGATTGTTAGATGGTGGCCTTCTGATGCTTGTTGTCCCCTGTTGCTTGGCGGTAGCAATGCGAAGAAATGCTGCTGGCGCCGCTTGCTACAACTGCCGCTCACCGCTGATGCTCATTTCTGCAGGCTGTGGCTTGATGATACGGCTGGCTGATAGTGCCCGTTGGTACTGCTGATTGCTGATACTGCCTGCTGCTGCTGATCTCTGGACCATCTTGGGAGCGTCCTGGGGCCTGTCGGAGGCTCTGGTGTGCCTCGCCGGCTTTCAGAACGCAGCTTGAGCTCGACGGTGGACAGTGCCTATAGGGAACCCAAAAAACGTACAGGATGCTCGCCCCACATGAGACCTGTGTCAAGCCGTGCTGGAACCTCTCAGGGCCCCGTCGGCGCCATCAGGGAGCCTCTGGGGCCGTCTTTGCGGGCCTGTGATCTCTGGAAGCGCACGGACCGTCTGAGGACCGTCCAGGCCGCCCGCCGCTGGGCATCCATGAGGGCAGCCGCTCGACGGACGCAGAGTCCCGCCTCGCACGAGCGACTCCAGCCCGACATCGCAGGTGTGACAATGACGTTGGGCTCCAACTTTGCGTCCCTCATCTCGCTGAGCAGCGCCAGAGCCCCCTGCCACTGCTTGCCTTTACTGCATGCACCGAGGATCGCATTGTAACAGCCTAGACTGCATGTTGAGCGCGACTGACGCACTTCGATGAAGAAGCTCAACGCTGCGCTCCACTGCTTTGCCCTCCCACAATTCTCTATTGCCGCTTTGAGGGAAGGACCGTCTTGCCCTGATCCTGGCTGCACGCCTAGCATCCAGGGTGGACTGAAACCACATTGGCGCAAAATGATAACGGCGTCAGCCGAATTCCCCTCGAGACAAAAAGAGAGGAGGGAGAAGGGAACGGGAACGAGGCAGCAGAAGGATGGAGCAAGGAGGAGGAATGGCGGATGAGGAAGGATGCGGGGAGGAGGAGGGAGGAGTGAGGAGGGAGAGAGGAAAGAGGATGGAATAAGCAGGAAACACGGAACATGGAAAGATGAGGGAGAAGGGATGAGGAATGGCGGATGAGGAAGGGTGCAGGGAGGCAAAAGGAAGGAGGGAAAGGGAGGATCATCTTCATAATCGTCATCACCACTGGCATCATCATCATCATCATCATCATCATCATCAGCAGCAGCAGCATCATCATCATCATCATCATCATCATCATCATCATCATCATCATCATCATCATCATCATCATCATCATCATCATCATCATCATCATCATCATCATCATCATCATCATCATCAGCATCATCATCATCAGCAGCATCATCATCAGCATCATCACAGCAGCAGCATCATCATCAGCATCATCATCGTCATCATCAGCATCATCATCACCTCCAACAGCAACATCATGAACATCATCAGCGTCATCATCATCCTCGTCATCATCATCGTCATCATCATCATCATCATCATCATCAGAATCAGCATCATCATCATCATCATCATCCTCATCATCATCATCATCAGCATCATCATCATCATCATCGTTATCAGCATCATCATCAGCAGCATCATCATCATCACCGTCACCGTAATCATCATCATCGTCATCATCAGCATCGTCATCATCGGCATGATCAGCAAAATGATCATCAGCAGAATCATCATCAGCATCATCATCATCATCATCAGAATCATCATCATCATCGTAATCGTCAGCATCATCATCGTCATAATCATCATTATCATCATCGACATCATCATCATCATCATCATCATCATCAGCGGCATCAGTATCAGCATCATCATCATTATCAGCATCATCATCCTAATCATCAGCATCATCATCATCAGCATCATCATTACCATAATCATCATCATCATCATCATCATCATCATCATTATCATCAGCAGCAGCATCAGCATCAGCATTAGCATCAGCATCAGCATCGTCATCATCATCAGCAGCATCATCGTCAGCACCATCATGAGCAGAAGCATCATCATTGTCATTGTCATTGTCATTGTCATTCCCAGTGTCATCATCATCAGCAGCATCCTCATTATCATCAGCAGTATCAGCAGCCTCATCCTCATCATCCTCATCCTCATCCTCATCCTCATCCTCATCATTATTATTATCAGTATCATCATCATCAAAATCAGCATCAACATCATGAGCAGCAGCATCATCATTATCGTCAGCATCGCCATCATCGTCATCGTTATCACCATCATCATCATCACCATCGTCATCATCACCATCATCATTGACAAAAGGAACATTGCCAACCATGATCCTAATCAACCTCGCCATCATCATCATCGTCATCATCATCATCATCATCATCATCATCATCATCGTCAGCAGGAGCAGCATCATCAGAAGCTGAGGCTATATCATCAGCAGCAGCACAGTCATTCTCCTCGTCCTCACGATCACCCTCAACATCATCGCCGTCATCATGGTCAGCATCATCCCCCTTCCCCCGCGCCCCATCCTCCTCCTCCTCCTCCTCCTCCTCCTCCTCATGTTACTCCTCCTTCCAGTGCTGCAGGAGGTGGATGGGAATTGGCATTGCTTCGCATTGCCTCGCATTGACTGGCATTGCTTGGCATGAGGCACTGGAGGCGGGGTACACGGGGAATCCGAGGAACCCAGGGAACCCAGGGAACCTCCAGGCAACGGGCAAAGTAACAATAGGAAGCACGAATTAAACCAAGCACGAACCCCTTAGGCAAGCCTAAAAAAAGTAGTCAGTTACCATGGTCCCCTGCAAAGCAAACAATTATCCCAGTGCGACCCTACCTAGGAGTTGGAACCCCTAGGAAAGTAGCATTAGTAGTAACAGTAACGCTAAGCTAAAGCTAAGCTAAAGCTAAGCTAAAGTTAAGCCACAGCTAAGCTAAAGCTAAGCTAAAGCTAAGCTAAAGCTAAGCTAAAGCTAAGCTAAAGCTAAGCTAAAGCTAAGCTAAAGCTAAGCTAAAGCTAAGCTAAAGCTAAGCTAAACGCTAAGCGAAAAGCTAAGCTAAAGATAAGCTAAAGCTAAAGCTAAGCTAAGCTTAAAGCTAAGCTGAAGCTAAGCTACAGCTAAGCTACAGCTAAGCTCAAGCTAAGCTAAAGCTAAGCTAAAGCTAAGCTAAACGCTAAGCGAAAAGCTAAGCGAAACGCTAAGCGAAAGCTAATCTAAGCTAAGCTAAAGCTAAGCTAAAGCTAAAGCTAAAGCTAAAGCTCCCAGGGGACTGGGGGGAACCGCGGGGCGGGGACTGGGGGAACCGCCCGGGGCGGTTTACACTGCCCGGCCCCTTTAAGCTAAGAGAGTAAGAACCCTTCTAGGCAGAGCCTAGGTAGGGGGGGGGGGGGAAAAGAAAACAAAAAAAAAAAAAACGCACGCGTTGTCGCGCGCGCATGTCGAAATTGTTCGGGAAAGCTAAATTCCCCGAGGAATTAAAAATCGAACGCGCCGAAAACATATATGTGTACGAGGATGGGTTTGCAACACGATGTGTCAAACAATCTGCGGGCTCGTGCATGTTTTTCGAAACCATCAGCCTATCAACATTCTCATCAAATTCGACCAGACGGGCCTCTCGCGCGCGCGTGCCGAGATCATTCGAAAGCCCTTGCGCGCGTGTTGGGGGGGAAGGTCCCTGACATAGACTTTCATGCGGACCATGTGCGTGCGTCGGCCGCGCGTGCATGTCGAAATCCTTCCAACACATTCATCACCGACACATGAACACCATCATTGTCATCGGCGTGATCAGCATCGGCGCCGACATTGGCCTTGCCGTCGTCATTGTCACCATCGCAACCAAACTCGTTACTACCATAATCCTGCCTGCCGTTGTCGACGTCGCTATGGTACCGAGCCCCCCTCGAATCACCGATTCGCACTGAAGTGCCTGTGCTGCGAAGTGCCCAACGGGCAGTGTTACCGCGGCCGCGTCTGTCGCGCCAGACTAGCTGGCCGCTCTGCGCGCGAGCCTGCGCGCGCCAGTGCGGCCGCAGCGACGCGCCTGCCAGCGCCAAGAAGTCATCGCAATCGCCGCCGCGTGGGTTTTCCAAGCCAAGTTGCGGGTGGGTGGGCGGGATGATTGCGCGAGCAGTGGAGTAACAACTTCAAGTTCGGCAACGTCAACTCTCCGTTCTAAAAGGAGAATAGACTCTACCCCCACCCCGGCGTTATCCCCCCCCTTTCGGTAATGTAAATCACATACGATTCTGACCACATGTCCATCCTAAATGTGAATTTACACTATCCCAGGGGGACCGGTATCGACCCCCGTGAGGTTCCTTTTTATATTTTATACATATAATATATATATATATGGAGAGAGAGAGAGAGAGACAGAGCTAAAAAAAGTTTACGCGCGAGTTCTTGCAAAATCTTGGGGAAACCAGAAGTTGTTTTCAAGATTTTCACAAAATGCTACCAAACGGGCTTCGCGCGCGCGCATGTCGAAATCTGTCGAACGCCCTTGCGCGTGTCGTCGCGAGAATCCTCTGCAAAAAAAGACGAAGAGCAGACGCGCGCGTCGTCGCGCGCGTATGCCGAAATCCATCAAAACCCATCGGCTTCGGAAGGATTTCAACACCGTGTGTCCAAAACCTACAAAAACACAAGGTTTCGCAACACGGGTTTTCAACAAAAGCGTGCGCGCGCGCTCTTGCGTCGTCGTCGTCGTCGTCGCCGTCTTCCCTCCTCCGGCGTCGTCGTCGTCGTCGCCTACGTCGTCCTCTGTCTTTCCTCGTGTTCGTCGTCGTCGTCCTCTTTGGCGTCGTGGTCGTTTCCGTCGTCGTTGTCGCCGTGGTCGTCCTTCCTCCTCCTCCCTCGTCGTCGTCGTCGTCCGTCGTCGGCGTCTCGTCGTCGTCCCTCCTATTTCGTCGCCGTCGTCGTCGTCGTCGTCGTTGTCGTCGTCGTCGTCTTCCCTCCTCCCTCGTCGTTGTCGTTGTCGGCGTCGCCGTCCTTCCTCCTTCTTCGTCGTTCGCGTCGTCGGCGTCCTCCCTCCTCCCTCGTCGTTGTCGTCGTTGTCGTCGTTGTCGCCGTCGTCGTCCTCCCTCCTCCCTCGTCGGCGTCTTCGTTGGCGACGTCGTCGTCGTCTTCGTCGTCGTCGTCGGCGTCGGCGTCGTCGCCGTCTTCGTCGTCGTCGACGTCGGCGTCGTCGTCGTCGCCGCCGTCGTCGTCGTCGTCGGCGTCGTTGACGTCGTCGTCGTCCGTGTCGTCGTTGTCGTCGTCGTCGGCGTCGTCATCGTCGTCGTCGTTGTCATCGTCGTCGTCGGCGTCGGCGTCGTCGTCGGCGTCGTCGGTGTCGTCGTCGTCGTCGTTGTCGGCGTCGTCGAAGTCGTTGGAGACGTCGTCGGTGTCGTCGTCGTCATTGTCGGCGGCGTCGTCGTCGTCGTTGTCGCTGTCGTGGTCGGCGTCGCTGTCGCTGCCAGGTGCCACTTGGTACCCACCGTCACGGTCTTAAGAGATTTTGCAAACCAACTTGCGGGTGGGTGGGCAGGATGATTGCGCGAGCAGTGGAGTTGACAACTTCAAGTTCGTCAAGTCAATTCTCCTTCCTAAAAAGAGAATGAACTCTACCCCCCCCCGGCGTTATCCGCCCCCCTTTCGGGTATGTAAATCACATATGATTCTGACCACATGTCCATCCTAAATATGAATTTACACTATCCCAGGGGAACCGGTATCGACCCCCCTGAGGTCCCCTTGTAAAAAACGATACGCGGGGACATCTGCTGTTCTAACATAACACTTTGTCGCGAATCCCTTGCAAAAAACGGGACGAAGCGCACACGCGCGCGCCGTCGCGCGCGCATGCCAAAATCCTCAAAAAACCTTCGGTGTCGGAAGGATTTCGCAATCGAGTTTCCAAACGACAT